TTTCTCCACAAATGACCTGACAACATGTTTGAAGAATGTTTTAATTAAACCTGAGGATTATTCCGCTTGAGTGAATTGTAATAAATTAGATCTATAAAATAAATAACTAGGCAAAAATGACATCCAGCGACCAGGGAATGACAGGCACAGCCTGACACTGAGTTTATTTGCTTCATCCTTAAGATGACACACACACATGCACGGCAAGAGAAAAGCAATACACAACCTTCAATCAAAGCAACTTATGTAGAGTACGAGTCATTTTTTCAAGGCTTGTTCACGGTATGGTGAAGAATGACATCTTTTAGGGCTGTCAAACGATTATCCAAAATAAAAGTTTGTGATTACATAATATATGTGTGTGTGTGGTGTATAAAATATATTATATATATATAAATACACATACATGCATGTATATATTTAAGAAAAAAAATATTGTAGTGCTGGGCAACGATTAATCACGATTAATCGCATCCAAAATAAAAGTTTGTGTTTACATAATACATGTGTGTGTACTGCTTATAATTACTTTGTATGTATAAATACACACACATGCATGTATATATTTAAGATTTTTTTTATTTATATATAAAATATTAATATTTATAAATAATATACATTTACACATGCAATATATACATGCACATATTTCTTAAATATATACATGCATGTGTGTGTATTTATATATACAAAATAATTACACTCACATGTATTATGTGAACCCAAACTTTTATTTTGGGTGCGATTAATCGCGATTAATCGTTGCCCAGCACTAATATATATATCAATTACATGCAAATATTTCTTAAATATTTACATGCATGATGTGTGTGTATTTGTATACAAAATGATTATACACAGTACACACACATATATTAAGTAAACACAAACTTTTAATTTGGATGCGATTAATCGTTTGACAGTCCTATAATAGAAAGGGAATGCTATAGGGCATTTCAGAATGTTTGTAAACAATAGGCACCGCGATACTTCCGGGTGGCAGAACGCGAGCGGCTTCTATTGACTAACTGAAGAGATCCAGCCGGCAACTGAACAGTTACACAGTTAAAATCATCGTTGTTGATCAAAGTTGAATCTATGGCGAAAATATGTTGTGTTTGGGGTTGCGCCACCAGATATACAGCAAAAGGTGTAGGTTTTTTTTTATCGATTTCCTTCAGAAAAAAGTAAATCTATCCAGCAGAACCTGTGGGTGAGGAGGTTAAAGCGAGTGGACGTCGTCAAAAGTGCATGTCGTCTTCTAATTATGAGCCTGAGCCCGATTTAAATCCAACCATTTTAATACGTGGGTCGTTATATAACTGACGTTCTCAACTAACTTAGTTATTTCTATTACTTTCCATGTTACTTTCTTTTGAGCGGTGAGTAAATGCTTCTTCATCGTAAATGCTTCTGATTGGCCAATGCGTTCAATAAATCAACACATATGTCTGTGATTGGCTACATCGCTCATCGCTGCAGTCACGTTATAAAATTAAACTCTGCCATGTAACTGTTAAGTCATTTCTATTTTGTTTTAGTTGTTCTTGTTGCTTTTCTGCAACAGATGAATACAAATGTATTAGTTTTTATTTGTTTTATTCATAGATATTTCTAGTTGGCGGGAGTCCCGCGAATCGTTTTATTCTCCTGCAATCCGCACACACAGAGAGTGCATTACCGCCCGCACTCGGCCATCAGATCTATTCCCGCGCCGCGGTCTAGTGCGTTGGGAGTGCACGTCTCTAGATCAAAAAAATCTAAGCTTTAATGATCATGTTAACTATGTCTGAATTTCCACCACGTCTGTTCTTGAATCAACTGTTGAAATGTAGATTAGGCTTCTGCCGGCGGTGTGTCTCCCTCCATGCAATTTACTAGTGTTGCCATAGGGACGCTTCGGCTTTTGCCACCCGAAAGAACGTCTTTTATTGTTGTGACGTCATGGTGAATTGTCGTATTGCACACACCATCAGAGACAACTTAACATGAGATACAACACTAAACTACACAGTAACACACACACACACACACACCCTATGCCTGCCTGACGGCCAAAGGCACATTGAACACACTGTACTGGACGAATACTGCGATAACCACTTTTCTGTCATCATTACTTCCCCAGGTTTCAAAATATGTTTGTTTGGGTCCGAACATGCACTCGACAACCTCAGACGTGCGTCACTCGTAAGTTCAGTCTGAACTGTTTTAGCCCTTCGCAAATGTTAAAATTCTCTAACCCCCGAGCTCAATATTTACACATTATACAGCTGGGGATTTAAAATAAGCGTTTTATTTACAAGTGTATAACAGTAGATGAATCGATTGTACATTCAGGGTTTATTGTTAAAGCTCTATGAAGGAATGAATGCACATGGTTTCGCCTCTCTCATTCATGTGTGTCTTCTTGAGTGATTATTTAAGGCACTTGCAACGTCGTTTTATAAAGAATAGTTGTTCATGTCCTCCGAGCGATGCAAATGTAAAGCAGCTGCTATTGAACAGTCCGTGGTGATGCTTCAACATTAGTGTGGCGAGGATGCATTCAATACAATGATGGATAAAGGCTCAATATCTAATGTTTTATAATGAGGTATATTCAACATGTTGGCAAAAAAAGATTGTGCGCTTGTTTGAATACTTTTCGCAGAATAATGAATAATACAGTTGAATGCATTTTCTGCCATCATTGTCTGTCTCGCTCACTGAGGCGAGTGAGCAAAAGGTTTGTATAACAACTGGAACGAGAAGGATTGATTTGCATCTCATTTGCCAGCTGATGAATGTTAATTAAGTCCAACCAATGGTTATTGGTTATACCATATTAATCCAAAACAGTTTAACAGAGGGGTCCAAAACCCTAAGACTTTTGTTGCACTTGAAAACATTTTTTTTTTAATTGATTCAAGGAGTTTTCAAAAAGTAACAAATTTTTCCCTCGTGGGTCCATTTGACCGCCATAGGAATGAATGTAATGCAAGGAATGCTTCATAGATAAACCCTAAAAATGCTTAAAATTCAAACTCAAAATATTTTGACAATGTCTACATGTATACTTGAGGACCCAGCGGAGCAGCTCCGAATACACTGTGAAGCAAAAAAAATGAAGTAACCTGGTTGCCTTAAAATTTTTAGTTCTTTGAAATGGAAAAACTGAGTTAATACAATGAACGAGATTGATTTAATCATCTGAAACTCAAAATATGATGTTATCTGAACCACATTAATTATTTAAGTTGATTTGACAAAAGAAAAAAGTTTTGATTATAAATCATGAAAATATTTTTTTAAATGTTATATTATGATTTTCACAAGAGGTCCGCAAAGAGTGCAAGATATTTTGAGCCGAATTAAAAGGGTTATGCATGAAATTGTGAGATATTTTAAATTTAAGTTGAAGGAATGTGAGGAATGTGCTTAAATGACTAATTATTTATTTATTAAATCTAGTCATTTAAATATGGAAGCTTGTTTCCGCCATAGAATGAAAAATATAAAAGGTAATTCAATTGGGATTTTTTTTTTATCTCACAATTATGATTTTTTTTCTCACAATTGCAAATTTACTTCTCGCAATTCTGACTTTATTTCTCAGAATTGCGAGATGGAAAGTCAGAATTGCGTGATACAAAGTCGCAATTGCGAGATATACTGTCAGAATTGCGAAATATAAAGTCAGAATTTACGTGATATAAAGTCAGAATTGCGAGATATGAAGTCAGAATTGCGTGATGCAAAGTCGTAATTGCGTGATATAAAGTCAGAATTGCGTGATACAAAGTCGCAATTGCGAGATATAAAGTCAGAATTGTGAGATATAAAGACAGAATTGCGTGATATAAAGTCAGAATTATGTAATACAAAGTCGCAATTGCGAGATATTAAGTAAGAATTGCTAGATATAAAGTCGCAATTGCGAGATATAAAGTCAGAAATGGGAGATATAAAGTCAGAATTGTGAGATATAAACTATTCTGAGGGTGAAAAAAGTTAGTCTTTTTTCCCCTTAGAATTGGCCTGATAACTCGCAATTGCAAGTTTATACTGTATCTCACGATTCTGAGAAAAGATGTCAGAATTTCGTCATATAAACTCACAATTATGTGTTATAAAGTAAGAATTGCGAGATATAAAGTCGCACTTCTGTTCTTTTCTCAATTGCGACTTTATATCACCTAATTCTGACTTTATCTTGCCATTCTGACTTTATAACTCACAATTGTGTCTTTATACCTCACAATTCTGACTTTATATCTCGCAATTCTGACTTTATATCTCACAATTCTGACTTTATATCTCGCAATTGTGTCTTTATATCTCACAATTCTGACTTTAAATCTCAAAATTCTGACTTTATTTCTCACAATTCTGAATTTATATCTCGCAATTCTGACTTTATATCTCACAATTCTGACTTTAACACGCAATTGTGAGATAAAAAGTCCCAATTATTTTTTTATTTTATTTTTCATTCAGTGGTGGAAACAAGCTTCCATATTTAAAGGTAAATAAAATACAAAGTAAAAAATCTCCAAAAAGATTTCATTATAGAAAATAATAGGACTTCGGGTCATTTTGACCCCTCGAGGGAAAGATATGTTACAAAGTGCGATTAATAAAAAGTTCCAAAACTTTCTCCAGGGCAGATAATAATTACTAAAGCTCTGTTTCAAAACCTAGAGTGTGTTTAAGCCACAACTCACAACCGGTTCCTATAGAATTTAGCAACAACACATATCAAATAGTCAATTTTAACCGTGCGTTTGGATTGCTTTTTCCATGAAGGATACACGTGATGCTGTATAAATGCTATGAAATTAAGGTTTCTTGACATAATGTTGCTGCCTACACCTTCTGGACCAGCATATGATGCCTGAAACTGTCCATTAGCGCATTACGTTTTGCAACAGAGCTCATCTTTCTCCTCCCCCTCTCCACTGAACATTGTGAACATTTCCAGTACCAAAATAAAACTCTACTGGGAACCAGAGGCGAAATATGATGAGGGAAGATTGTATAAATGTAAACAAGATATAAGCAGATGGCAGCCATCAGGTTTTGGTATACGACAAGTATAACTCACTAAATAAACAACAAATAAATAGGCCACAGAAATGTACATCTTCTCTAAGATTTTGGAGAACTTTTTATATTTAGGCCATCATAAAAGCCTGCCCTTGAATAATAAGAAGCTTGTCCTATTTGGCCCCGTGTTTCCACAGAAGTTTTTCGAGAGTGAAATAATGCTTATTTAAATAGGGGCCATGATCTTGAATATTGGCGCTATACTGTATCTCTAAACTTTGAAGACAGTTTTGGCACTGAAGTGAACACACACGCATAACAAAACACAACAGCTTCATAATTTCTTCAGACAGCAACACCAAACAAAGCTAAAGCTAAAGTTATTTACAGTAAATTACATTCATCGCTTAAATACATGAGATCAATCAAATCGAGCTCTCCAAATGGGCCATTTTAAGACATGCAGGTGTCCTATAAACACCCTTTAATACTTAATGTTGATCTTAAATACTAAATCAAGTTTCATGTAACATTTTCAGATGCTGGTCTGAAGGTTTCCATTGAGCAACGCAGCGTTTTGCGTTTCCGTCATGACGTCGTTGACCATTCGAGTCCTGTCCTGCCGACTATCGCTTCGGTCGATCTCATCCAAGCCACCGACTCTTTTCAGACACAAGACGTTTTGGAAACTCTTCTTGAAGTTGTCCGACAAGAAGGCGTAGAGGATTGGGTTGGCGCAGCTGTTGGCGTAACCCAACACCACCACGAAGTCAAACGTGCTTTTCAGAACGGGTGTTGTGGGAACGGTTCCGGTCACAGAGGTCACGTTAAACACGTAAAACGGTAACCAGCAGAGCACGAACACGACCACCACGATAGAAACCATACGGGTGACTTTCCGCTCCGAGCGCTTTCTTTTGGTGGAGCCGACCCGCATGCCGGAGGACTTGACCTTTATGACGATTAGCAGGTAGCACATGGAGATGACGATCAGCGGTAAGAAAAAGCCCAAGAAAAAAGTGTAGAAGATGAACGCGGTGTAGTAGGTGTTTTGTGGCTCCGGCCACAACATGGTGCACGTCCGAGCCTCGTTTCTTTTCAAGTTCACTCCGCTGTAGATCATAATTGGTAGGTTGACCAGCAGAGACACACTCCACATGGCCAGACTGATGGTTTTGGCCATGCGCGGCTTTCGCCATTTGGTGGATTTGATCGGATGCACCACGGCCAGGTAGCGGTCGAAGCTCATGACCGTTAGAAAGAAGATGCTGGTGAATTGGTTCATGGAGTCCGCGGTGAGGACGACGCGGCAGATCGCGGATCCGAACGGCCAGTGGAGAAGCAGGAGCTGAATCGCGATGAAAGGTAGACTTAGCATGCAAAGGACATCCGCCACCGCCAGGTTTAAAATGTATATATTCGTGACGGTCTTCATCTTGGCGTAGCGCAGGATGACATAAATGACCAGCGTGTTCCCACACAGTCCCACCGCACAGACTACAAAGTACACAAATGTGATGACGACTGAACTTGTTTGGTCAAAGCCGTGGTTGGTGCTATTGTGAGGGTAAATCTCCAAGCCAAAGTCAGACTCGTTCCCTGGGAAGAAGCTGTTATTCACCAAGCGGTCAGGGAGGGATAGGTTGGAGTTGGGCATAAACGTCCATGTGTCCATTTTGGCGGTGTTTATTATTCACCGGGAAAAGGCTTATGAAGATTGAACCCACAGTTTAATAAGAAACCTATGGGCATTTAAGAAAAAAAAGGAGGGAAATATGAGTTAACATCCAATCTGCAAATTGTGATAAATACATAGGCCTAATTTGTCTCGAATCAAAGTAATCTAATCAAGGGGTGGTGCATGTGAGTGCAATTTTTTTACACATAACTGAAGACTTTTTGGAAGTATTAATGGTGGACTGTGGCCCTGATTACCACGTTAAACTCTTAAAAATAGTTTCCAAAAGGGGAGATGCCATAGAAAAACCATTTTTGGTTCCCCAAAGAACCTTTTAGTGGACAGTTCTTACAATATTAAAGGTTCTTCATGGATGGCAAGAGAGTTTAACAGTTGGGTTTCGAAGTAAAAGCTCCATTCATTTTTCTCCATATGGAAATTGATTTTGAATGATTACTTTTAAACCTTTAAAGATAGCCCTGCTGTGAGCTGAGAGGTTGTTAATCCATGGCATTTGCTTCTGTACTAGCTGTCAGGCTGCGTTATTTCAGCTTATTTTTTAAACACAGCTGAAAAACTACATTACCCATGATTCTGTACAGAAAATTACACCAATCGGTGAATCACAAAAATAAACAACACATGCCAAAAATTGTACTGTTATCCATCCCATAACTCGCATGAGTTAGCAAGACACATGGATGGAGTGACCACGAATCTCAAACAGTAATTGCCACGAGTCACGACAGACGTGAATTCTGGTGAGCATATCGCGAGAGATAGACTGGATTTATATACGTTCTGCTTAAATAAAATGATTTTTCAAGTAAAAAATGAGGTGAAAATGGAAAGCAGCTAGAGAATCAATAATGCTCACAGGTCTGATCTGCAACTTTGGATAAACAAGGACTTTACCATGTCTGTCTGCATGGTTTCTACAGTTCATTGACTTTTGCCCTAGCAAATATTGGGTTAATTGATTTTTACTGAGCAAACATTAGGAATATTTGATATATAAGAGATAATCTAACAAATGACGCAAACTTAATTTAGCTGTACAGCTCCTCCAAGGGTCGGTTGAATGAAATAATATAAAAGTGAAGTAGGCAACTGCAGTCTCCATCATCCCACACAATATCACAACATCTTCAACTGAGAAAAATATCAGAAACCCAACCTAAATCAAATCATATAAGTTTACTAAGTTTCCCATTCAAAACCTCAATGATGGATCAGTCTGAAATAGCCGTGTTAAATAGACAAATACCAACTCTGCCTCTATGCTGTGATTTTCCAGCGCTTTGGGATGAGAACGCGTTGGATTTTCAGCCAGTACACGACATGTCTAAATAAATTGAGTAAAATATAAGCTATATAATGGATTATTATAGGAAGTGGGGGGGAAAAAATCATTATTTTGACATAACAGCACAAAACAGTACATCTACGACTGGTCGAACTATTTTACATAGGCTAAACACGTCTTTTACCAAATATTGTGTAGCCTAATTACCTGTAATTCTCCTCATTTTTAATTAATTGGTTAAAAACGTTTGCAAAAATGATTCAAATGTAATGTAAATATAAAAAATACGTTAAACCGTCAATAACACACATATTTGGTATACTGTAAAAAAGGACAATTTTAAACGATGTAGCTTATTACATTTTTGCCTGTAGCTATAGTTACCTGTAGTTATGGGACACCTTTGGAGATCCATTCCTGGAATCTGAACAGCTTCACATGTTTCTATTCGCCACCATAATATTACCGCAAAACTGGTAGGAACAAGCGCGAAATCCAGCAAAGAATAACCGTCACTCGCACTTGACACCTCCTGATAAACCCGCGCGTGTCCGTTTGTGCGTCAGGACAACGACAGTTCTCCTCAGATAACAAATGACCGTTATTTCAGTAGAAAATAAACTAAAACATAAATTTAGTAGCGAATGACGCTCTTGAACTCAATAAACTTAACATTTAAGTCATGAAAAATACATTTCCAAGGGCAACAGTCGAATTCCTTTGGTATTTCTAAGTCTGAGCGGGAACGATGTGAGTCAGGTCCTCTCACGCGCGCGTGAGTGTGTGTGTTACCGGAGCGCGAGCACGAGTGTGAGTGCAGATGGAGCTGCAGATCCGTCGAGCGCGCGCTTCCTTCATATATATCCTGCGCAGATACATTAATCTAAACGACATGAAAGGCTATATTCAGTTGTTTTTGCTGTGTGGTCTTGATAAGGATACGGGAATTTGTCAGGGGTCGAAATAATAATTTATGAATCCCCCCAAAAAGATGTTTAGCCTAAAATTAGATTAGGCTAGATTGAAATAAATGCATGTGGGAATTAGAGACTTTAAATAAGTAATATCGTGAGAAATCAAATGTTCCCATCACTTCTTTGAGATAAAAGAATTTGATGTTAAATGGTTGTGAACTTAAAACTTGCACCATTTATTGAAACCAAGCTTTAAAAATGACACTTGCAACTTTTTCACCTTCTTTCATCTTAACTTATAGGACCCTGTGGAAGGTATTTTTTTATTGTACTTTTATTGAACAATATGTCATGTGCAGACAACGCATGGCAACACACATCATTACAATTTGAGAGTAGGATCAGGTGCGCACAGAAGCAAAAAATAGAAAAAATAAATAACTAAAATAAAGGGAGTTACTTTTCAGGTCATATTCTTCTATTGTAGGACCCTGTGGAAGTGTGTGCAACCTTAAATCTGCCATCTTTGGCATGTGACAATTGCCTGAAGAATGCAGCAGGGGTTAAACATAATCAAACCAAGTGCATGCACAAATATAATTGACACTTTTGAATCTGTTTCAAATAACTGCTGAAAAAAAAATAATATAAATAAATAAAATCTTATCTATACAGTATATGACAATTGCAGGCATGCATGTGGGCCTACACTCTAAAAAAATGCTTGGTTGTTTCAACCCAACATTGGGTCAAATATGGACAAACCCAGTTCCATTTTTAACCCAACATTTGGGTTTGTCCATATTTAACCCATATTTGACCCAAATTTGGGTTAAAAAACCCCAGCATTTTTAGAGTGTAGAAAAATTGCATGACAAATAATGAATTGTTTCATTATTTTTTAACAGAATCTCCTGAGATTGGTTATCTTAACAGAACTGAAATGCTCAATCAAGAAGAGAAGTGAACACATGATGAGCCTTCGCCTTAGACAGCACGTAGTTAAACTGAATATATGGGGTTAAAGGTCAATGGCTGATAAGTCTCGAAAAGCCTTGATGAAAGGTAAACTGTGGCAATGAAAATAAACAGACGCAACTTGACAAAAAGGGTTAAATAAATCAAAATGATAAATGATTGAACTGAAACATGTATGGAAAAATAAATATCATCCATTATTTTTGATGAGTGGTTTACATAGAGAGCCATTTGTTTTCTAACCTTGTTTTAAAGCTCTAAAAATGAATGGAAGAAAAAGACAAAAGTGAGCCTAATAGAAATGGGAAATTCTTGTCAGGATATTATGCATTAGTTCTGATAAACCAAAGCATTTTTGTGTTCTTTATTATTGGGCACTTTTACATCCCAGTTGCTGATTTTTTATTAAAGCATACCTTTTACAATGCCTTTATTTTTTATTTTACATATTTAATTATTTTAAGCCATAGCGCCAAAACATGAATAATACCCTAAAAATCAGTATAAAACATTACAATACAATATTTGTGATTTTACACAAATAACAAACAACACTTTTATTCAAGAAATACATAATTTCTTGGTGTGTTCAGCGGTGTCAATGAAGATCATGCCTGAAAATAATTATGAGATGAAATGTCTGAAAAATGTGCATTTTATTTTTAAACAATTGTCAATTTATTTAAAAACTGGGAACAGATTACTGAATTCATTTGTATTTAGGATGCATCAAATTCTGTAATTTCCGAAGGATTTTATTCCAACAAATGTTTAAAATACCATTTCCACAAATGTTTTGAGCTAGGTGAAAAAATGTTCATAACACAATTCTCCACAAATTGAATAAACCTTATCGAGAGTGTGAAACGTGTTTTTTTTATTTATTTTTTATTTTTTTAAGAGCTTATTTTCTAGCCACGGTTAATCTATGAACTCAGCAGGAGAACGCCAACAGGTCGCAGTCGAGTGGAAGAGGGAAACACTTATTATTAGGACTCCCGTTTCAACACGTGCTTTTGGGCTGGATAAAAATAACGGTGATTTAAATATGGGAATCTCCATAGAGTTTAATTTTGCTAAATATATACTCATTTTATTATTTTTATTTAAAGTCCCGTCATTTTTGATCACTTAAAACTCACCAAAATGACATATTTAAAAGAAAAAATCTTTATTTTAATCATGCCTTAAAGGAGTAGTTCACTTTTAAAAAACTTTTGCTGATAATTTACTCGCCCCCATGTCATGCAAGATGTCCACGTCTTTCTTTCTTCAGTCGAAAAGAAATTAAGGTTTTTGATAAAAACATTCCAGGATTTTTCTCCATATAATGGACTTCAATGGGGTCCAAACGGTTCAAGGTCCAAAAGACAGTTTCAGTGCAAACTACAAACTGTTCAAAGGGCTTTAAACGACACCAGACAATGAATAGGGGTCTTATCAAGCAAAACGAGCGGTCGTTTCAAAAATTAATAAAAAAGTTTAAGTTTTATGAGCTCAAATGGTCGCCTTGCTCTGTTATGTGATGAGCGTTCGTGACTCTCCTGTTCGAACTCGTTCATCAAAATGAACGAATCTTTTTTGTGTCGTTTGGTTCTTTCAACGAACAAAATGACTCGAAAAAAGATTCGTTCACTTTGAAAAACGAGTTTGAACAGGGGAGTCACGAACGCTCATCACAGAACTGAACAGAGCGAACATTTGTGCTCATACATTTTTTTATCTTATTTTTGAAACGACCGCTCGTTTTGCTATAAGACCCTTATTCATCATCTGGTGTCGTTTAAAGCCCTTTGAATCTGCACTGAAACTCTCATTTGGACCTTGAACCGTTTGGTTCCCATTGAAGTCCATTATATGGAGAAAATCCTGGAATGTTTTCTTCAAAAACCTTAATTTCTTTTTGACTGAAGAAAGAAAGACATGGACATCTTGGATGACATGGGGGTGAGTAAATTATCAGCAAAAGTTTTTTTTTTAAAGTAAACTACTCCTTTAAAATATCTTGAACATAACTCAACACCCTCATTTAGTATACACAGTTATATGAATATTTTTTTACACTTATTGTGGGCACTTGAACTGTTTCAATCATGAAAAATATAATAGACTTCGGACATTAACTCACTGGAATGATAATTCACATGACATTTCCATAATGTTTCCATTACATCTGTTCTTATTCTTTTAAGAATTAGCCTCAAAGGTAAATGATTTAAAATAATTTTGAATGTAATTAATTTTTAAAGTGATAGTACACCCAAAAGTGAAACTTATTCCATAACTTACTCGCTCAAGCCATAGGTGTTTATGCGTTTCTTCTTTCAGACGAAAAAGTGCATTCATCCATCATAACAGTAATCCATACGCCTCCAGGGGTTAATAGAGGCCTTCTGAAGCGTAAAAAAATAAATAAATAAAAATCCATATTTATAACTAATCACTGTAGGCGAGTATAGTTCCGGTTGAAGAGTGACCCCTGACCCAACGCATTTTTGAGTGACCTAACACTTTAAACTAATTGCCCTTTAAGCCCCAACAGCCTCACTGTCTTGAATTGATCGGTTTCAAACCTATACATTATAGGCCTAGACATGTGACGCCCAAGGGTCCAATTAAAAGCTTTTGTCAGTTTAAAGGCACAGTGATAACTAGCGATAAAGAAGGAGTCTAAAAGGCTGTTTTCTAAGGCACAAAGCCAAAGCCGGGTCATCAGGGATATAAAAGAGACAGCTGGACTGGCGGACAGTTTTGTTGTTTAAAAATGGTCAAATGTAGTGTTAACTAGAGTGTGTTGCACTGTCAGCTGGACGGATAATTAATAATGCAAAAGGTTTCTGGACAAGAAAAAACAACAAAAACAGGACTGTGAATCAAATTATTTTTATTTATTTTTTCACTGCAATATGCATTTAAATTGAGTTATATTTTATATTTAAGTATATTTTTATATTTTTTCATGTTATATATTATATTTTTAATTCGTTTAGAATATTTTTGCTCAATGATTCTGATTCGGAATTCGTAATTTTCTAATCCGACACAACAGATGCTTATCAGAGTGATGACGAGGGATAAGATCTCATAACCTCCGGAGAGATGTTATTTAAAATTGTTTGGGTACATAACGTGCGTGAGAGCAACCCATAACCTTCTAATTTTGTATCTAAATCATTTTTTTGATAAGCTTATTCCATCTGTTTTATGTCAGAGGTATATGTTTTTGACAATCGTTAGGAAAACATATTCATCATGGAGTCATGGGATACTATTTTCCAACGTTTGCACATGGGAATGAAGCATTTCAAGTGTTCTTATCTAGTGTCTCCCACCAAGTCTGTCTCATGCATTTTTAGTTGTGTATTTTTTTCACATGATGATGGACAAGAATGAGTGCGCGGATATTTTGTGCACGTGTGTGTGTGGTCATACCCCTTGTTTTGATGAGTAAAGTCTTCTGCTTCCAGATTCTACTTTAGCAGGGAATAAGGAAAGGTATGTTATTGCATTGCACCTTGGCTGCCTATAAAACTGCTGCAAAAACAACACGTTTATAACAGATGTGAGCCTTTTCTTAACATATTTCTCAGTCCAAAGCCGTCAAGATACTCAGTCAAACTTGTATTTTTCTCTGCAAAATCTATCAGTTATACTGTACATTTCAAAGCAGAAACGTGCAGCTTTAATTGAATGCACGTTTGTTTCTCTTTAAAGTTTTTCATTCATAAATGTTAAATAATGCAATATCCTTACATGAACAAAGAGAATTGCACACTCTGTCATTAGCTGAACATTTTAATGTTTGTGAACAATGATAATTTACATATGTAGACAGGAATATAAAAAGAAACATGTTCTGGATCTGGATGATTACATGCAAATATTCTATACATGCAATAAAGTAAAATATTGGCATAAAAGCAAAAGCATAAAATATTGTGATAAAACAAGGGTAAATTACTGATTTATATTACAATACATTCAGAATATATTATTAAGAAGTAAAAAAGAAGAATATTTTGTTTCTTGGTCAAACAAAAAACATTTATTTCCAAAAATGGCAAGAAAAAAAATATATAAAATACAAATAATAAAAACATTACCCTGTGTATGTGTGTATGTATATCTATGCATGGCCATGTGTTATTAATACTTACATTTATCTTAGCAATATGGTCACTAATCCATGGCAGTGTTGGCTATTAGCATCAATATCAACTGTTTTCAAACAAATTCAAACACACATTCCTTATTCATGTGTCATTTAGCAACAGTCACACAAAAAACCTCAAATATTTGGTCCAAGCTGGATGCCATGACAACCATGACATCATCCAGAAAACCACAATCAATTCGACAACACTTCTATGCCTACAGGAGGGCAGTCTGCTCATGTATTTTTCTTAATCGCACAGAAGCAAAGGCAGTCTCACAGGCTCATACTTTGAATTGCACTACAAAAATTAAGCAATTAAGGATTGTCTGTTTACAAAGTAAACATGTTGGAATGTCTTGCAACATATTTAAAGTCCCCCTGTAGTCGAGAATTTCATCCCTTAAAACTCATCGTTGATCGTCAAAATGATATTTAAAAAAAAAATCCCATGGGAAAAAAAAAAAATCCACACGCGCGGGCTCGCGAATATGCTAATTAGCCCCGCCTCCACTTGGAGTGGAGATTCACACGGCTAAGGTAAACGCTGCACAATGGCGTCGCTCTTTACAACGTCGGAATCGGACACATAATGGTAATTAATAAGATTAGCCTTTTGCTTGACTATGTTATTAGACAGCTAATAATGCTATGCTAATGTTTACAGTTATGAATTTTGCAGACGGTTTTAGCCAAAGCGACTTCAAGGTACATATTTTACATTCTTATACAGTCTTATCATCAGAAACAAAGCTAGAACAAAACAGAACGTCAGTGGAGAAAGGTATTTAGTTCATCATTATAATATCGTAACACACCATACACACGCTATATTGCTTCTCTGAAGACTCCCCTGCTAGTTCGCAGTTAATGACAGGTTGACGAGATTGGTTACAAGGTTGTTTGTGACATTTTAAACTGCGTTTTTTGAGGCTGTCTTTGTTTTACTGCAGTTTTAAGGAGAGAATACTCATTAAAAACACCACATAAACATATAAACAATATTAAAAGCTGGATTTTCGCCACAGGGGGACTTCACTTACAGGGATAGTTCACTTATTTAAATTTTTATTACATTTTTTTGGTATGTTTTATCTTACCTCAAGGGCATCCAAGATGTAGGTGTCTTTGTTTCCGCAGTAGTTACAATTTTGATATTTTTAGGTCAAACCATTGTTGTCTGTCAGTCATATAATGCAGGTCTATGGTCACCACCTCAAAGAGCATGCACAGAGAAGTCCAAATTAAACATGATTTAATGACTCATAAATGTAAGTACACATTGATGGCCTAAGACACGAAATGAGCGTTTTGTGTGAGAAAACGAACAGTATTTATATCATTTTTACCTCTTGTAATCACACGTCCAAGTGATCTGAGGGCGCGGGCGCTTTGTGGCTGTGGTTACAAGAGGTAAAAACAATATAAATACTGTTCGTTTTCATGTCTTAAGCCATCAATGTGTACTTACATTCACGAGTCATTAAATCATGTTTAGTTTGGACTTCTCTGTGCATGCTCTTTGAGGTGGTGACCATAGACCTCCATTATATGACTGACAGACAAGAACGGTTTGACCTAAAAATATCAAAATTGAAAATACCGCGGAAACAAAGACACCTACATCTTGGATGCTCTTGAGGTAAGATAAAACATAGCAAAAATTAATTTCAAAGTGAACTATCCCTTTAAAACATAGATACACTAAGCTAGCACGCCTTGCACGTTGGTGTCGCGCAGGACGTAGGCTTCGGTGTCTCGGTCACAGTGTGTCGGCGAGCTCTTATGGGGGCAGAGGAGGGCGTGGAAATGCCTGCGAAAGGTTTCCGACAGACACGCGTACAGGATTGGATTGGCGCAGCTCCACGAATACGACAGCAGCACCACAAACTCAAAGCCACGTGTGAAATCCAGCGCCAGATCCGTTCGGTGCAGAGAGCAAAAGTTCAAGACGTAGAACGGCAGCCAGCAAACGCCAAACACCAACACAACCGCCACCACCATCTTAGTAACCTGTTTCTCCAGCCTGTGACTCTCCAGCGAAGAAGACGTTTGCGTTCTGGCGTTTCTCAGAGTCACCAACAGTGCCGTGTAAAACACGATCATCACGGTGAAGGGCAAAGCAAAGCCCAATACGAACGTGTAGCTGAGAAAGGTCAACCACCAGGTGTCGGATGCGACATGAGGGTCAACGGTGCACAAGCCGTAGTTATCAGAGAAGTTGATAGCCATTGGAAGCACGGGAAATAAAGAGATGAACCACATTAACGCGGCGATGATCTTCGCCCGCCGTGGCGTCCGCCAACGAGCGAATCGCATCGGGTCTACCAGCGCCATGTAGCGGTCGACGCTCATCACCGTCAGGCAGAACACGCTGGTGAATTGATTAATGCCGTCTAGAACCATAACCAGCTTGCAAACGGCATCTCCGAAGATCCACTGGTCTTGGAAGTTTTGGATCGCGATGAACGGGAGTCCTACCATGAAAAGCCCATCAGCCAAAGCCAAGTTGAAAATGTAGACGGTGGTCGCCGAAGACATTTTGTCCAGCTTTAGGATGGTGATTATAACCAGCGAGTTCCCGGCCAATCCCACGACGCAAACTGCCAGGTACATCACGGCCATGGCGACGCTGAACGCATCGAAGTCCTCATGGATGTAGACGTTGTTTATGGCGGCGCCTAGAACCGACACGTTGTCGTGAAACAATCCCAAAGGCACTGCCGTTTCCATTTTTGTAGTCGTTGTGGTTCAAACGTATTGCGAGAACCAGGATCTCCGCCTTGTCCTTGAAGGCTTACTTTCCCATCTTCAGAGCTGATCTTTGAAGATTTCACCCCCCAAAAAACCTGGTTGGATATTTGTTGAAATACCTCCAAACTCTAGTTGGTGTCAGACCCTCCTGTGGAGATCTTATATATCCCAAAGTGTGTGCGTCTAAGTCATCCGTCGACTCTGATAAGCTGCGCCGGCTCGTTCCAATCCGCTGTTGCGAGGTTTCCAGGGTGCCATCTGTTACAATACTTTTGTTTTCATAACTAAACGCTCTTGTCAGAAGGTCCATCCAGCCTCTTTCTTTCACACTCCCTCTCGTTTTCCTCCTCCACTCCACCCCTACGTTTCCTCCCTTTCCTCGCAGTTCAGTGGGGGGTCAATCAACCCCCAACTTCTCCTTTGGGCCACCCACTTTACAAATACGTCCCCATCGGATGAGTGATGAATTCCCCCTCTGCTTGTTTGAGTATGCTGCGTTTCCCCCCATCCACTGTTTATATTTCGGGCTGATTGTCTTTGTTTGTTGGTCAGTGAATCATCTATCACGCGCACAAGGCCTCAGTGGCTGGAAGCGCTTGCAGATAAAAAGCAATGAGTAATGAGCGATCACCTTAGTCCTGTTCCTCTTCTGACACGCATTGTTGAAATGCCAGTGAACTTCCAAAGATATGCGAGAAGACAGGAACTGAGGGAGCGAGTGATTAGGCTCACATATACTCACCTCACTGACCACAAGCACTGCTTTAGGAGAGATTATGCAATATGCAAATTGTTTCTACTCAATTCCATGAATCATTCCTACAATTTTGGAAGTTTCCGTTGGCACGTTGTCGAGGTTTAGGGGCCTCAAGTGACTCTGTGTTGCTGAAGACAGGTATCAAGTCCTCTCCAATAAATCTACATGGCCAGCGTTTGGTTTCACTGTTTTTTGGGCTTGAGTTTTCTCGTAGCGTTTAACTAGGAACATACTGGTTTTTACAAATACCAGGCTGTAGTTTCTAAGAATTGTAAAAAAAAGAACCAGGACGTGATTGGAAATACTCTGAAACCTTTCATTCAAAAATGCATGTTATTGTTATCTGTGTTCATTTGTCTTGTATGCTTTTATTATATGTGTGTTAACAGTCTATGCTGAGGGACATTCAACAAAATGCTGGGTTGTTTCAACCCATGTTTGGGTCAGATATGTACAAACCCAACCGTTGGGTTCGAAATTTTATAAAAAAATGTAAACCAACGGTTGGGTTTGTCCATATTTGACCCAAACATGGGTTGAAACAAACCATCATTTCGTCAAATTTAGTAAAAATTATTGAATGAAATGTATTTGTGAAAAATGAATGAAAATTAGGTGTTTAGCACTGCATCATGTCATTTGATAGATTGTTTGTACCAGTTATCAAATTAAAGCATTGTTTAGGATCTGGTTAATTGTAAGTGTTGTACTCACTCTGAACTTATGCATGTAGATGTACTGTATTATAACATAAAAATGGCAGAGATTGTACAATCATTATATATTCAATATGAGCTTAGCATTAAAGGGTAAGTTCACCCAAAAATGAAAAATTATTTTATAATTGAATCACCCTCAAGCCTTCCTAGGTGTATGACTTTCTTCTTTCAGCCAAACACAATCAGAGTTATATTTAAAAATGTCCTTGGAAACTTTATAATGGGAGTGAATGGTACCTGATATTTTGAAGCCCAAAAAAGCGCATCCATCCATTATAACAGTAACCAATACGACTCCAGGGGTTAATAAAGGCCTTCTGAAGTGAAGCCATGCGTTTTTGTAAGACACATGACCTCTGATCGACACATGACGTAGGAGTAGCGTAAGCTTAGGTGAGTCGACGACCTCTGACCCGACACATGACCTCTGACCCGACGTATGACCCGACACATGACCTCTGACCCGACATATGAGCCAACCCATGACCTCTGACCCGACATATGACCAAACACATGACCTCTGACCCGACATATGACCCAACCCATGACCTCTGACTCGACATATGAGCAAACACATGACCTCTTACCTGACACATGACCTCTGACGCAGCACATGAGCTCTGACCTGACACATGACGTAGGAGTAGTGTAAGCTCAGGTGAGATTTGACGCCTCTCTCGGTTCAAACAAAAAACTCAAGCTCCTCCCACATTTCTCCTTAAAAACTCTTATTTTAGACGTATAATTCCTGACGAGTGTTTTGTTTTGCTCTATCCTCTATGCTTCTGCGCTCATCAATTCATCAATACATCATGTGTCGGGTCAGAGGTCATACGTCGGGTCAGAGCTCACTCGTCATGTGTCGGGTCAGAGGTCATGCGTCGGGTCAGAGGTCACTCGTCATGCGCTGAGTCAGAGGTTGTGCGTCGGGTCAGAGGTCACTTGTCATGTGTCGGCTCAGAGGTCACTCGTCATGTGTCGGGTCAGAGGTCACTCGTCATGTGTCGGGTCAGTGGTCACTCGTCATGTGTCGGGTCAGAGATCACTCATCATGCGTCGGGTCACCTGGACAAATTATTAACCCAATGCAATTTTTTTTTTTTGATTGAGGTATCAAAAAAAATTGATTGAAATATCAAAACAAACAATAGAAATAGAATACAATATGTTTCAAATGCTAGTGGGAGGTAAATAATAGGAATACTTTAAAGAGTGTACAATTCTAATAGCTTTTTGTTTCTTCGAGGGCAATATTGATTTAATATTTTTTAAATGCAATAAAACATCCCCCCTGAAAATTTGCATTCATGAATTTGAAAATGTAGCCATCAAAATGAATAAATGAATAAAAAAATAAAATAAAAAAGAATAAAATAAATGCAGGGTTGTTTATCTTTGGAGTTTACAATGATACAAGTAGGACATCTTTCCATAAAAATTTAAAATTTCCATCAACAGATGTCTCGTCCAATCAGCGATCAGTATTCAATTCGCCACATACCTACCTTTTCCGTTTTGTCTGACTTGTTGTGTTTTCTGACTTGTTAATTTGTTTTCAGATTTGTCGTTGTGTTTTCTGACTTGTTAATTTGTTTTCAGATTTGTTTTTGTGTTTTCTGATTTGTTAATTTGTTTTCAGATTTGTCGTTGTGTTTTCTGAATTGTTATTTCGTTTTCTGAATTGTTGTTGTGTTTTCTGACTTGTTTTTTTGTTTTTATAATTGTGATTTGTTTTGCACCTCTCGGCCACCGTAAAACAATGAGTCAAGTACATTTTTCCACAAAAAAAAAAAAAAAAAAAAAAAAAAAAAAAGACGTAAGGAGAGTGCCTAAACAAATGAACAGCTATCTCTGCAAACTATGCAAACCTTATCCGATGACTTGCAGGAACGCAGCTGACGTGGCCACTTTAAAACTCCGTAGCGCGTGAATTACCCAATTAGGAGCTTGAGGGGGCGGGGCTTACGCCGTAACACAGACACGTGTACAGGGAAGCAGGAAGTGAAGCGGCTCACTTGGTGCCTGTAAACAGTAAGTACAATACAATAACAAACAGTCTATGCTGAGGTAAAAATGTCAAAGAATGAATGAAAACTAACCAAAAATCGGCTGTAGGCGCGTTTATTTTCCATTTTTGAAATGTTTGAATGTTAAAACACAGCAGAAGTTCACGATGGTCTGTAGCAGATCAACTTTATTCAGCACTGCGTTCACTTTATCAACTCACTAGATTGTTTAATACGTTAACGTTAGTTGTTTGAACAATTGTCAAATAAAATGTCAGTTTGTTTCGATGCTTTGGTGTTGATTTGAGCATAATGACAGGCGCTGTACTCACTCAGAAATAGTCTGTTTACACATCTAACACTAGTCTAGATATATTGTATTGCTTACACTTTATTTTAAAAGGTCTGTGTTACAGTGTAATTCTACTGAGTAATATTTGTAATGTACTTACTATAGGGTTAGGTTTGGTTTAGGGTTAGTTGCATGTAATTTATAGTGAGTACTACATGTAACATGCATAAAAAGGACACTAAAATAAAGTGTTACGATATTTAGTGTAATTATAACCACGCAATTGTGTCACTGAGCTTGTCATTTGATTCTACATGCAAATAGTTAGAGTTAGGGCTTCTCCAGTGCTTACAGGAATCCTGGATAAACAGGATTTGGTTCACACCCACCTCCGTGATGGCTAAACTGCATCTGCGTCTCTTGTGTGTTTTTGGTTTGCACAGGCGTCATGCTTCCAGGCTTCAGTCCTGTGGTTCAGGCCCTGCTGGGGACCCTGTTCACCTGGGGCCTCACGGCAGCTGGAGCCGCTCTGGTCTTCGTGTTCTCCGGCAGACAGGTGAGCCGGGTCTCTGAAGAAACAAGCTTTCATTTCTAAAATGAGAACGACATGAGCATAATGATGACAGAAATGTCAATCTGATTCTGACTCAGACAACAACATACAGTGCTTAGCATAAGTGCACACACCCATGCTAAAGTTGGAACATTTATTTATTTACGATACATTATTCATTCACAAAGAAAATTGGTGTCCTTAAAGGTTGGATTTTTCCTCATTTTTTAAATTAAGGGATTAAGATCAATTTCCGAAAGATATTTTTTTTTATTCCTCTTTGTAGTCGTGTTCACTTATTTTAGGCACTGTAGTGTCGGCCCAGATCCGGCCCACATCTGATACGTGTTGAAACAACATGTTTTGTGGGCCGACTCTATGTTGCTGTCTGGGGAATGGCTTTATTTTTTCTTCACTAAGGAAAGTGAATTTTTTTCACCTTAGTGAAAAAATAAAACTAACTATAGTGCAAACTCATTAACATTTTACTGGCATATAACCTACTGATGTAAATATTATAATTATACTTTATTTGGAGTAAATCTTTAATATTAAGCCTAAAATGTGCAATAATAATCACTAATATCACTAATCTCTGTATAAGATCAGTCATTACATGCTAGATATTTAATGTATACTTGCAGTAGTTCCACTTTAGCACAATCAAATAGACTTCAGCACTATTTCCAGATAAATAAAGTGCATTAAGTACAAAATTAATTGTTCCAATTTAGCAGATTTTAAGTATATCAATTTAGTACTACAATTGCAGGGTATTTTTATTTTAGTACATAAATATGCAAATGTATTTATACTTAGCGTGAAATAAATGTTTTTCTAACACATCTTTGTGTTTATATTTACTTTGTGTTTAATTTAAGTAAAATATATTTTTAAGCCTTTTTTTATTTACGTGATTGAATTAATAGTAAAATTCCATGTAATTGAATTGATTAATCCTTATGTATTTTAATTGAATAACTGATTAAGGATTGTTCTGTAATTCAATCAAAATTTGTAAGGATTATTCAGTTCAGGTTTTAAGCGAGTGTAGGGTGATTCAATCTAAATCAGTGTTATTGTTGTTAACTAAGACTATTTCTGTTAATTGAAATTAAGTGGAAATGAATTAAAATATAAATATCAGTTGGAAAAACTCAAACTAAATTAAAATGAGAAATGATGCCTCGGCAATAAACTGAAATAAGTTTAAATTGAAGCTCTAAAATGATTAACTGGAAATTAGTCAAACTAAAACTGAAATAACTATAAATTAAACTTAAATAGCA